GAAGCGACTACTGTCTTGTTTGGCTCAAGACACGTGGACCAGCAGTGAGCTGTGCGTGCTAAAAGTGTGAACTGTCCGAGTGTTTTGTGGGCTTGCCTTGCTTGCAGCAGTGCTTGGACGTGTTTGCTTGCAGACCTGAAAGACCTAAGGCTTTCTAGGTTTTTAACGTCTTCACTGCAGAATCTGATGTGGCTAACGTAAATAAGAAGTCTGCTTTCTCTAAAATTCTTTTCGCCTTGCACATAACAAGAATTGAACAATTTCCAACACTTTCCGCAAACAAAGCGTGTACAGCTTTGCTCGTCTTAAGTCCAGTGCGTTGCAAGCAACCACAAGAAGCTTCTCTGTGAGCACGTCAAAACCCTCACAGAGAGGCGCGCAGGAACCAGTTGCTCTTATTTTCTTTCCGTCGCACTTCCATACAGCTTCCTGTGACAACGCTCGCAGCGATTTTGTGTGGCGTTTTTTTTCTTTTGTTTGGTCATTGCGTCTTGTTTGAGTTTGCAATCCTTGAGTTGAGACTTTCAAACTTGAAGTTGCGACTTTCAGTTCTTTTGGTTGGTGCTTCGCTTGCCTTCTTCTGTCTCTTGTATTTTCCTCGCAAAACCCTTCCATAAAGCGAAAATGTGTGGCATCTTTTTTTCTTCAGTGACTGCGCTGATCAAAGTTTCGTGTGGCTTTTCTACTTGTCTTTGGTCGCTTCTGCTAACGGCACTTCATTTTTCGCAATCAAACATGAAAATTCGAATTCGAACAAATGTTATGTCCGCAGACTGTTCTTTGTGATTTGAGAACGAAGTGGTTGAGGTCAAAAAACTCCGTTTTTGATTTCAGGTCAGGTTTTTAAGCTTGTTGGAATTGCAAAATCTGGATGCGTCAAGGACGCAGCTTCGTCGAGACTAAAAGGCGTAGACACGCTTGAAAAGATTTTTTTGGAGAAGCTGTTTTGCCTTGTGTTTCTTTTCTTCAAAACCAAAATTGCGTTCTTGTCTGTGGTAAAGCAGGCATTTATTTTGTGGATTTGATTTACTCGGTGTTTCGCTTCTGATGATTCTCTACAAGATGCAGCGGTTCGTGTCTGCACAGATGCTTGCCGAGCTGGTCGCAAACTGGCACCGCTTTCTAGTGGCCGTGAGGCTGTTAACCATCAGATCTGCTCAGAGTTCTCAGGTCTACAGTCATCGAAACACCTGTGAGAAAACAGAGAAACCGCAAATCTTTTAAAGAAGAAAAGTTCACACCTGGTTCGACCTCTTCTTCAGCGCACACGAAAAAAGTGTTTCAAAGGTCGATGGATTTGAGTCGTCGGCCGGATTTCTGACAACAAGCTTGTGAAAGCTCTTGCAATTTGAAGTCGGTCTTCATGGCGTTCTGAACGGGCACTAAAAGAACGAAACGTTTTGTTGAGCTTTTGAATGAAGAATCTTGGTGAAAATTGCCTTGCCATTGTTACCGTTCTTGCTGTTGTTCTCATTAACCACTTCCAGAAACACGCAGTGTTTCGACAAAACATGAAGTTCTGACACCGTCTTTATTGCCATAACCGGCAACATTCAATTCAATCAGAACACTCCAGTGCAAGGATGTATGTCCAATCGGCGGACAGTTCACGTTTCTTCGTGAAGCTCACAGTGCAGGCAGCCGTTACGTGGCAGACCTTGAGGGGTGCAGCAGCACATCAAAGTTAGCTAGCCGCGCAAACATGACAGAGCGCGCCACCTGTTCCAGCTCCGCCACTTTGGTTCAAGTTCTTTCACGACCGACCACCCCAAAAGAGTGTAAAGCCAGCACTTATCCTTGCATGGCAATGCTGCAGTGCCCATGTGCAAGTCAGCATCTCCTCCTGGAGACGTGCATCATAGCTGCGAGCACCATGCCATGCTGCACAAGTCGAATCAACGTTTAGGTGCTCAATAGCTTGTTATTTTCCATTAAAAGTTCAACTTACTGAGTTTCCAATACCGTTGTTTAGCTTCTTACTTCTAACAGTCGAACTTGTTGCAAAACGGCTTTTAAATAGCTATGGGGTCGTTGTGTGTGTCCACCGGTCACTTGTAGTTGTATGCAACCCCATTGCGGCATGATGCGGTTCCACATCCTTATTTCTGATTCACCATGCGCTGCAATGGCGTGTGGTGGTAGCTTCGCTGTCTTCGCTGCGCTGGTGTCAAAGGCCGAGTCTCACTGTTCTGCTTCGTTGGGTTCAACAGGCAAAGCTACGCGATAGACGTAGAACGGACCCTGAATTATGTAGGTGTCCGTAATTGACACTCTTGGGCTTCTTGGGTCGCAAACTGTTTGCCACCCCTTAGACATATTTTCGCGGACATACCTGCAGGACTGTTAAGATAAACCGACATGCCGAGAAGACAGAACTCTTTCCCATATTCCATGCCGGGGGGTCCACAGGCTTTTTGATCTGCCGAGCCGGCAAGATCGTGTTTCGAATCCCGCGTTTTGTATGAATCAAGGGGCATCGTTGACAATAAGGTGAATTCAGCATCCGTCTTTTCGGGATACAGTCCGGCGTGCCAACTGGGAGCATCATCCAGAGCGTCATTGACTGTCATTGACAGCAGCTGTGAAGATAATGTGCTTGAGCTGATAATATCGAGTATGAGTTCATGGACGGCAATTACGACCTCTTTGACTTGTTCGTTCGTGTCGCTTGGAGTGTTTCTGGGAAGCTTGGATGTACGCCCAGGCAGTGGCTGACGGCGCAGACCCACGTGCTGATCTTTCGGGTTCCAGCCTGCCGCAACGGGACCTGACAAGTAAGGCTTTGTCGGTTCGGATGCAACATGCCTTTTGTTCAAGCTCTGTCCATCCACCTTCTCCCCGAGCTTGCTCGCTAGCTTTCAGGCCAATCGTGTTCATCCCTGGCTTTGCTGGGAGCTTGCTTGATGCAAGCGTTAGCAGGCATCGTGCCGCGAATCCGATGTGCAGCTTGAGCGGGAGTCCAGCTTGCACTTATTCGACCCCTAAGACGCCTTTGCTAAACTAACTACTTGGTGAGAGCATCGAATGATGGAGGGAACGGTCCAGTGCTCCAAGCTCTGCGAACTCAGCGGAGGACAGATCGCGTCTGGTTTGATACCGAATACTTCGTCCCTTTGCTTATCGACTGCTGGATGGAAGAGATGAGCTGCTCGGATCCCTGTAAAGAAGATCGCAGGAGTACGGTGACAGGGGAGTTTAGAGGAGAAGTTGTCGTCTCAGCCCCGAAGCTGGTTTGGTTACGCTGAGGGTTTTTGGGCTCATGTGCTGTGCGGTGCAGGCTGTTAGACTGTCTCCAAGTGTGAGACTAGACACATCACTCTGCCGCGATTTCCTTCTGGCATGTTTTAGACAGCCTCCTCCCCCATGCCCCAGGACTGCAGCTGAACGTAACGGCTTCCATGAGCAGCGCTCTGGAGCTTGAGGACGAAGCAGAAGGTGTGCATGTCCACACCGTCAGCTATGGTGTCTTGGCAGGGTCTTGATGGTCCTCAGGCTTCGATGCCTGGTGCCTATCAGCAGAATGCAGTTGCAACTAAGAGCTCCACTAGATTCGGATGTTTTTTCAACTCGACCTCGTCTATTTTCATCTTCCGAGGACCTTCCTGTGTACCTTCGGATATCGGAGGTGGATGTGTGAGATTGGTGTTTTTCGCGACAGTCGACTTAAAGGTGTCTAAACTTATAGCAAGGGGACTGTCGATGGCAGTCGCAACAGGCATGATGATCTTGGTGATCGTCTGAGCAATGTTATGCGCGAGTTCGTCGGCAATCATCATCATGTAGACAAGACTATCACGTATCACAAGGGGTGAGAACATGCATCATACTGAATATACGCGGTTTGGATAGCAAGTGGTTCCAGAATGTTGCAAGTGGCTCAGAGATGTAAGGAAGATTCCCCACTACTGCCTCACATGGCCCACTTGCGGCAGTGGTCTCTCTATCGCCAGAGTTAAGGCTCTTATCTTGCCTCATATGTTCAGTGCTTCTCTTCTTGTCCTTCTCTCTTTCACCATGTTGGTGTGTTCGTGGCCTCCTTTTGTGTCTGCAGCTATGTCTTTGAGTGCGTTTCCAACGGTATCACATTCTGTGATGAATGGTCTGAAGGTAGCATCAAGGACTCGCTCTTCGACTACGGTGTCTTCCATGGTGGGCCACTGGTCCTCATTTCCTTGCATGCTTTATGAGCTTCAGCCACTGTCCAAAGTTTCGAACGTGTGCATCCATTTGCCACCACCACACCGCCACCACAGACGACTCCATCAGCATCATCCCCACAATTGGAATTGAGGACAGGGGTCTGGACTCCAATCATTGCGCAACTGGAGAAGCTGGGCTTCAACGCCTCGCACCTGCCTCTCGGCTTTGCAGAAAAGATGACGTTTTTGATGAAGAGGATGGTGATGTCGGCTCACGGCAGCAAAACGGCAAGACGACGTTGGCTGTGATGGTGTTTATGATCTTGACATCCGTTGTCGCGTGCTGGTGCTTCTGTTGGGGCTGTTGACGGCGTGAGTGCACATTTTGCGGTCAAGACAATGACGATGGTCATGATGCTGCCCTGCCGGAGACGCCTTTTCGGCTTCAGCTGGCGGTGTGGCAGGGCTTTTTAGCACGTATATTCAATGGTATCCAATGCTTCTTGTATTTATTTGGCAACTTTGCCGGTGTGGTGGTTGTCACACGGTGGGGTGATCGTATTAGTGTTGGGCCGCAGTGGTGGCCATATTTGAGACCTCAGCTTCGTAGACCGCGAGCTAGACTGTGAGTACAAGACTGTCTTTTTTGTGTGCACATGAGTGATATGTATGCTTATGTGGACAACGTTAGACGCTCGGACACATGAAAGCCTCATGCACATGGTGTGCTCACAGACAGGAGCAAAGGTGTGTGCAAAAACTCCCTTGCATGCATGTACACGCAAAGACGAAGCATAGCCAACGAGAAATCTGCGCAACAGCTACAAGGAGCTGTGTGAGGGCACAGGGTATCTTCCATGACCGTGGTGAAGAGCGATTGGGCTCTACGCTGTCACATTGTGCTGCCCGCCGTTACGTTCTGGGATGTGGCCGTGGTGTGGTCTCACAGCCCTCTGTGTCGTTTCTCCTCCGACCGTTCTTTACTTTCAAATGCTATTCGTGCCTGAGTGATCAGTGTTCTAGGTTTGCTGCCCCGTACGACTGGCGCCGTGGTCCAGGCTACTGGAAGTTGCCTGGCGTTTGACATAGAATCTAAAAGTTTGTATGGAGACGGCGGTTACTCACTGGTTTGCACAACATGGTCAATGTGATCCCTGTGGATCGTGCTGTGCACCGGACGCTCTTTTGACATGCATTGTTTTCAAGCCTGGCACGAGAGGCAGCACGACTGGCCTCGCTTGAAGACGTTCCTGGAGGAGAAGGTCCGCGAGTTTGCTCAGCCTGCCATCGTCATGGCGGTGTCACAAGGCACTCGAGAACGGTTTCAGCAAGACTTGAACCTGCCCAAAAGCAAGAAGACGCTCATCGCACAGACAGCAAAATCCCTTTAATTTCGCTTGGATTCTTCCACATATCGATTTCAACTTTGTTTGTCGACGTCATGTCTCAGTCCGGATGCGGTGTCAAGAGCCTTACAAGCTCTGCCAAGCTCGGTCCTCCCCAGTCCGCAGGCTCGCCGTTCTTTGCAGGGTTCCTCCATCACGCCGGGGTGGATGCTGATTGGAAGAAGGAGATTCCCTGCTTGGTGGTCGTAGTTGTAGCAGTGGCAATGAGCGGAAGCGGCAGGGGGAGTGGCAGCAGCAGCAGCGGCAGCAGTCACCTTGCTCGTCCCGGCGTCGGGAGGAGCACATCGCGTCCTTCTTCTCCTTCTCCGGGGTCTTCGGCGGCACCGTGGGAGGTGGGGAGCTTCGGGGTTTCAGAGTTGCGGAGCTTTGGCTTTGGCGGACGGAGGCCTGGGCCTGGCGATGTGGGGAGATGCCCGGCCGCTGGGTGCCTCCCACGCAGCCTACGACCTGAAAGTGGACTTCGCCTCCCGGAAAAGTCTTCAGGATCCTCGGCCGAGGCCAGAGGTTGGGCGACACAGCCTTTGGGCCTTCGGGGCATCTTGCCAGAGCCAAGGACCTGCTGCGCGGATGGGGAGGCCTGGTGGTGCCCGGTGGTGTGGGAGGAAGAGGAACCCAGAACATGTAAGTCTCAGACCCAGCACTTCAGTGGCTTCCAAGCAGCCTCAGACGAAGACGACGACGACGACGACGACGACGACGACCGGAAACCCACAAAGGCAGCAACGATGACGGCACACGTCTTCAGTTTGAAATGTAAGAGTCCGAATGGTCTGGAGGGCAGGCTGTGTTTTTGCAACTCGAGCTGCAGTAGCCCTTTCAGGTGTGAGCATGTTGTTGCCACGCATCCATCCTGAAGCCGCCTTCATCCAGCTGCCGCCGGCTTTCAACGGCAACGTCACCTGGGAGAACTTGGACGAGGCCAGAACCACGGCCATCGTTGACTTGAAAGCTTGTTTGCGCAGCATTGAATGCAACGGACGGTCAACGGGTGGCTGGTTCGCGTCCTGCTTTTGACAGGCCCTCGGGCGCGTTTCCACGGAGTTCGGGGCCCTCTACGAGCTGTCGCTGCTGGGTTGTGTTTCTTTGACGGTCTAGGACCATACAAGTCCAGAGCCCTTCAGGGAGCGCGAGTGGCTGGTCTTCGTTTCGGGCCTTTGATGACATGCACTCCTGATAATAGTGCAGCTCTGCCTCTGCTTGTCTCTCTTTCTCTGTCTGTCTCTGTCTCTGTTTCGCTCTCACTCACAAGCTTACCTACAAGGCTTGGCTGAAGGGACCAATCATTGGAACTCGCCCAAGAGAAAAAGGTTCACTTGCAGCAGCTAGCCACGAGTTGCTGAGAGCCGCACTTGACGGAATGTGACTTCGGGGGTTTCCGTCATTCTCTTTGTTTCGTAATGGTCGCAGTTGAGGCTGTACTATCCCATCTCCGGGCACCCTGGCGTGAAGACGCACTGCTTCTTCGGCTCGGCGCTGCGCAGCCCATCCCAGCCTCTCAGCCTTGGTTGACGAGCAGAAGGGTGAGAGACTTCGGGCTTCGGAGGCTCAGCCCCTCCGAGGTATGTCTACCTGTCGACACCAACGAACTCTTCGGAGAGCAAAAGCCTCATGGACCAAGGCCGGACAGGGTCTGGGACTCGTCGCCTGTTCGATGCTGTTTGCACTCGCTTCGTACCGGAATCCACGGCCGCCCAATCGGATGGGCCAATGCGTGTCAAGGGGTGTCGATGGGAGAAGGGAGTACCCGTGGGAAGCCTCAGAGCGTGTTTTTGCGATCCATCTCTGCCCGGCATGTGCTGAGGGGAAACTGACTGAAGTGTGCCGTTGGGATCGCCTTCCGAAGTGTCGATCCTTCTCTGCAGAGGCATTCCATGAAACTGGAGGAGCCTCTGGAACCTCAGTAAGGCACTCGAAACCGCGAACTGTCTAAAACCTGGGGCGGCCCTGGTGGTCCGATGAGGCTTTGGTCACTGCTTTTGAGAACTCCAAAGCCCAAAACCCTGCAACCCTAAATCCTGATCCTGAGCCATCCTGAGCCCCAAGGTCAGAAAAAACCCGGGTCCACCGAATTCCGCTGTTTCAGAGGCCTCGAGGCGGCCACGCAGCTCCGGCAGGGGAAGAAGCCAGACTTGATGTCCCTGCTGGGAGGGATTGGCAAGCTAGCGGAGGAGTTCATTGAACCAGCGCCCCTCGGTGAGGTCTTGAAGAGCAGGGATGACTACGGGGTTCAACAATTTCGATGCTTCTGCATGTCTTCAGTTGAAGACCATGCATGCAAACCATGCGCCATGTAAGGAGGGGTGTGATTGTGTGCGTGAGGTCGTGAGTGGTCTGAGTGTAGCCTACTTGAGGTCAAGACAATCGAAGTAGGAGTCGTGAAGAAGCGTTTTGCCCACAGCCAGGAGCAACGAAACGGCTCCTTTGGTGCCAGCGGGACCGCCCGGGAGCATCGAGTGGTGGGACTCCGTTGGACAGCTGCTGTCTTACCGGCGGCCAGACGAGCTCGTGACCACTGACGCCAGACTCAGAGCGGCCCAAACCGAGAAGGTGTTTGAACTCTGAGAAGGAACCCTAAATCCCTAAGCCGAAAACCCACACCCCAAACCCCGAAAACTCCAAAAACGACGCCGGCTTTGAGCCTTCCTCCAAGGATGGGGACGGCCTGGTGCCTCGGGAGTCCCTGGCAATCTGCGAGGCCTGGGCTCAAGCAGAGGATCCCTCGCTTGCTGCGGAGATCCACGAGGTGGGCGTTAAAGAGAGGAGGCAGAGCTCTCTTAGATGGTACAAAAACTAGTGCAAGCCTGGCCCGATCGCTCATGGCGACCCGAATCCCGACAATCCCTAGATTCCCTACAGCAAGAAGCGGACCCCAAGGCGACCCTAGCCATGCAAGCAATTGAGCAGGTGAAAGGGCGCAGCCACGGCTCGGAGCTGTTTGATCCCGAGGTGCTCTTGACAATGCGAGCATCCGTTGCGAAGGCCCGGCCCTTGCAGCTTTGGAGCCTGGGCTGCAGAGATCGAAAAGCGGCTGTCCTTTTGATTCGCAGGTGGCCGGCGTGAAGAATCCAGATGACAGGAGCACACCGTTTTGGAAAGCCGTCTCGTATGGACAAAGACATGGCGCGACCTTTGGAAGAGCCTCGGAGCCTTGTGTTAGCTTCGGGAGGGTTCTGGATTTTCGACATAAGACATCACGCTGTCAATCGATCTGTCGTTGGATCTGTCTATCTAGCCATCTATCGATCTACCTATCTATTTATCTATCTACCTATCTATCGATCTATCGATCTATCGGTGTATCGGTCTATGGACCTATCGATCGATGTTTCGATGTATCGATCTATCGATCTATCGGTCGATCTATCGATCTATCGATCTATCTATCTATCCATATATCATCCACCTATCCGCCTTTCCATCTATCCATCTGTCCATCTATCCATCTATCCATCTATCCATCTATCCATCTATCCATCTATCCATCTATCTATCCATCCATTTGTTGTCCGTCTTGTATCCACATACACATGAATGTCCATCCATGCATGCATCCATGCAATCCAATTCCAATCCAATTCCAATCCAATCCCAATGCAATCCCAATCAATCCCAATTCAATCCAATCCCAATCCAATCGCAAACACTCCCAATCCAATCCAATCCACAAGCATGCGTGCATACGTGTACAAACACACACACACACAGAGAAACACATATGAACACATAAACAAACAATCAATCACCCAATTATCTACCTAGCTAGTTGCCTGCCTAACTCTGTAGACTGGTATTTTGGTGGCGAAACTCCTCGCCCTTCGGGATGGACCGTGGGTTGAATAGCAAGGGTTGAGCAGAAGGTCCTCAGGGCCCAGAAGCAAACTCTTGCGAGCAAAGGAATTCATCCAGATTCTTGGGCCCGACGTTGCAAGATGGGACTGCCGAACGTGGGCGATGCAGTACTTCAGTGATGGTGACCTCCACGGTCGCCTGGTGGGCGATGGATAGGCATCTGACGATCTACCGGTTTACTTCCCTCCCCTCAAGCTCAAAAAATCTGTGTCGAGTCCTCAAGTCTCCCAACTCACACAAATTCATTTCGAGAATTCTGAGTCCAAAGCCCTGGGCCCCTTAGAGTCGCTGCAAGGCTGCAGCGGGAAGCTGATCCTGGCCTCCAGCGGCTGCCAGGATCCCGGCTGCCGCCAGGTCACCCGTGATATCTTTATACATATTAGTGGATTCTGGGGTTGTTTTGTGTTGGGGTTTAGGGGCGTAGAGTGAGGACGGAATGGAGATGGAACGGAGTGTGTATCATTGATTGCGGAACGCACTTGTTCAGCTTAGTTCTGTATCCATATGTGCATGATGACACATTCATATCGAATCGTGCAGAAATCCCCCTATTTCCTGTGTTTGTCGTCGACAGCATCCTGTACATATTCACATATCTCTATGACAGGATCCAAGATGAAATAGTCAGCCGTCCTGATAAAGAAGCATGACGTACTCTGTGTTCGGTATACTATGCATGCATTCGCACACGTTTGCCTTTGGTGCTTGTGGCGCTACATGTCGTACCTTTGCGAGTATACTCCATGACACACCTTTCCAATGCTATGTGATGTACGTGAGATATCCTGCATGTGTATACTAACTATGGGAAATTATCGGTCTTGTCCTGCCGCTGATTTGAAATTTGGAGGGGTGGAGTCGCAAAGCCCAAGGCAGCTCCCGCCAGTTGAACTTGACTAGTTCAGAGGACTTAGCCCTTGCAGAGATGAAGGTTGATGAGCCTGCCACGAGTCTGGTCGAAGTGGTTTACTGAGTCGTGTTCGGCATGTGGGCAATCTCCTCACCAAGTGTTTTCTAAGCACAAGCAAGACAGGTCAATTTGTGTGCGAGGTTATTCTATGAGTTCGTTGCTACATCTAGCTATCTACCCGGCAGGCTGACCGGCTGGCTACCTAGCTAGCTAGCGAGCCAGCTCATCTAACTACCTATCTGCCTATCTACCTATATACCTATCTGCCTACATACCTACCTGTCAATCTGTCTATCTATCTACCTACATACCTACCTATATATCCATCTCTCCATCTCTGCATCTCTCCATCTGTCCATCCATCTGTCTGTTTGTTTGTCTGAATCTAATTACCTTCCAATGTAGTGTACTCTATGCTTGCTTGCTTTCAGCATTTCCCTTTCACTGTATGTGGTCCATGGCCGCCGGGGAGAGGCCTTCACGCTTGACCCGGAGATTCTGTCGCGGCGGTGCCCCGAGACGTGCAGCGGTCGACTGCCGAGTCTCCGCTTGAAATTGCCGGGCTTCTGTTAAGATTGTTCTGAGGGTGTCAAGGCCTGGGTGTGGACTTTTTGGATGGGTTGTGGTTTCCTCATTTCTGGCTGAGCGGTTCTAGTCGTGTCGATGGGTTGAGGGTTCGTCAAGGATTTTGGAGCGGCTGCTTGGCAATCCCTGTTTGGCTACGCCTCATCACGACTCCCATCCCACATTGAAGTTTCAGATCGCAGGTGGCTTTCATGCAGGTGCGGCGAAGCAGGCTCCTTCTTAAGAAAAAGGGGCTCCCAGACCCAGACAAGAACCCCCCCAAATTTTCTGAAAGCTTCCCCCAAGTTTCTGAAACCTAAACCCTAAACCCTAAACCTCCCAAAACTCCCAGGAGGCACGGATTGGACTTGCTCCGACCTTTGGAGGAGTTTGAAGCGATCCTGGGACCTCAGGTCCGAACCTCATGGGGCAGGGCCCTCTCTGTTTGTTTGTAGGAAGAGAGGCAGTCGTCGGATTTCCCTTATAGCGTAACGGTCGCCTATCACCTTTTGTCTATCCGCCTTCTCATGTTCCTTACTTGTTCGTTGATGACCCTTGTCTCCTTTCGACAGCCTGTGTTCCTGTTTCCAAGGCCGTCTGTTGCACGTGACTTCAAACGGCGCTGGGAGTATTGCAACATATTGGAACCCACACCACGGCCACAGTGAAATGCGAAGGAGCCTCGGTTGTCACTCTCAACGGGAACCTAAATTGCCGTGCGCTGCCGCGCCGACAGCAAAATTCACAGCTGGAGTGTGCTGCACTCGTCTCCAACACCCTTGTGTTTGAATGTGCAGGTCCTGCACCCGTACAGCTGCTCACGGAAGATGCCTAGACTACAGCGCCGGTACCTTGGTTCTGCTTCCCTGAGTCCTTGCTGCTCCTTTTGAGCCGCTTCTTCTTGGCATTCTGGGTGTCCTATTCGTCATGCTCCGATGCTCGCAAACAACGGTGTAATTTCAGCTTCTGCAATTCATGCCATCCGCTCACGTTTGTTGAATGCATTCAGTCTGGCGTCTGTGCGCTCCTATTCGAGCACATGCTCGCGAATGAAGTTCTCCAATGTGCTGACCTTCGCATTTTTTATTGTTTCCCGGGTGACTTGTGGTCCGACAGCCGCAAGACACGTGCATTGGCCGTTGCTTCCGTGGCGGTTCTTCGGCCAATTGTCGTGTTCGGCTGCTTTGAATTCGTGTGTGATGCCAGGGCTTGTTGCACCCAGACCTTGGCGGACTGGGGTGCGACCATTGTGGACCCGCCTGCCCTGTCCTCTCCCAAACAACTACGCCGTCTCCGTCCTCTGCGACTGAAAAAAAGTGCCTGCGCAGTTCATGCCGACTCAGTGGCTCTGTTTGGTGTATGTCAGCCTCCTCCGTCGGTCCGACAATCGGTCGGCCATGGTGTGATCTTGGAAGCGCAACGCCCTTGCTTCATGTTAGGAGGAGCAGGAGCCAGGAGGAGCAGCAGGCGACGGCAACACCAACCACGGTCACAACGTCAACAGCGACAACGCCGCCGCCACCACCGCCAACAGCAACATCAGCAACAACCACAAGCACCAACACAAGCACCAACACAAGCGCAAGCTCAAGCGCAGGCACAAGCACAAGCACAAGCAACAGCACAAGCAGCGGCACAAGCAACAACAACAACAACAACAGCA